CTAGCCTTTATGCTCTTAAAAGTTATTGAGGACTCCAAAGAACACTTATTTTAATGTGGGTTATATCTATTGATGTTTATCATATTACACATGAAAACTGAGAAATTTAAAAATGTTAATTCATTTAAAACAACAATAATAAACCAATTATATGCTAACATAATTTTTTTCCATAAAGAAAACAAAATTAAAGTTTTCCCAAAAATATCTCTGCAAAGAGTGACACTGTTTCACATTTATTTTAAAAAATATTTCATACAATTCCTCTTTATCCCTATTAATGTTGTTCTTTAAAATTCTCTTAGTGCAGTACCAATATTTTCTCACTAGCTTTTTATTGGTTGGCATTTGCCTAGCATTTATATATATTTTTATTCCACTACATCAGTGCTTTTGTAGGAGGGTATCTTGTGAGTATCATGTAACTGGATTTTGACCTTCCCTAATACTAAGTGTTTCTGAGTACAGAGCATTATGGTCAATGCTTTCTTATTAACTGTAGGCAAATGAAGCCAGACTCTCACAGCTCTCTTCTTGGTCGCTCAACTCCTAGCTCACGAGGATGATTCATCCATGGACAGGAAACATCTCTGAACTGTTGTAGTCTGTTCTCATCGGTAAACCTCCTCATTCAGGCCCCTCATCACAAACAGTTTGGGATTCAAGCTGGTAAGAAATGATGCAATAGTCTGCTCCCTGAGAACATGATCCAATTAACTGTACTTTGTTAAAACCTCTGTGCAAAGGAAACATTTCATATATATTAACTATGGTATGTTAAGTCAGTTTTATTACTTTAAGAATTAATATTTTTAACTGAAACATTTAAAAAGTTACATGCACATCCCTGCAGTGATGTAAATCTTTATAGCCCCATCAATATTAGCTTATAGATAAAACTTACTATAAAAGTGAAATTCCTATTAATAAAATGACAAGTCAGATGAATTCTGCTAGCATGGATTCATAAACGAGAAAAGGATAAAGAAATCCTTCTGTAAGTTAGTTGCAACCTCTGTAGCTAAAGGAAGATACATTTTTAATCCATGGTTTGACAGTGAGAGTATCTATTTAAGAAGTAAAACTAATAGGTTCATCAGGAAATTTTACTGGCTGGTTTATTCCTTCATGTTATGATTTATAAAAATTCTCAACACACTTCAAGTAATTTTATCTAAGTGATTTTATGTCTCACTATTTATAACATTATGACCTCTGAGTTATAGGCCAAAAGAATGAAAAAAACCCAGTTTTCTAACAAGCTTATTACAGAGAGAAAAAGACGAACAGTAATACTTGCCCAATTATCTGGAAAGTACTTGTCCACTATCTCTCTCATTTTGGCTTGATGGGTATGAAGAATGGAAGGCTCAAAGTAGAGAATTACATAGAGCATGGCGGCCTGATTTGCCAGGGCTGTACTGCGATGTTCCGGCAAAGGGTAAGCTGAGACCTGCAATACAGAGAGACGACCCGGAAGAGGCAGCTGTTGGTAACAACTGAACTTACATGTGCCAAAGAAATGATCTAGTTCTAGAATAGATCAGTCTCTAAAAGTCCGTCTGCTGGGAGGATCCTGGACACTGGAAGCAACTGTCAGATTGCGGCACTGCTCACCAGGGCCTTCCTTCTTATTCCTCACCACACGACATTATTCCCTTCCTTCCAGTGCTTGACTCTGCTGCAATTCTAAGTCTTTTCCTTAAAAAAAAAAAAATTTAACCCCAGGTCTCCCATGAATTGTCCATTTCTCTGTCTTCCCCATCACAGACAATCTCTAAGAACTGACAGAGTCCATACACACTTTTGCTATTTTCTCACTTTCTGTTTATTCTTTAACTCACTGAAATTTGACCTCCACCATCACCTCAATGGAATTTCCTAAGGTCATTCACAACCTCACAATCACCCAATTCAGCAGCCTCTTTTTAGCACTCTCACTTAAATTCTTTCAGGAACGAAATTCTCTCCTCTGGTTCCCCAGGCACCTCTTCTACTCAGTCTGCTTTACTGGGTGTTCTCCTGCCCGCCTTTTAAATGCCTGTGTGTCCCGGGCTCCATTGCCTTATGCAAAAGGCATCTTTGGCTGCACAGAGTCCATATCACCTCAAGGACCGTAAGCAGAGATGGTGGAAACTGTTACTGACAGAGCAATGTCACATGGAATCTGCAAGCAGGAATGTGGCCAGGTCTCTGGAAGTGCCTGGGGCTACGAACCAGAAAGCCTTCACTGTTTCTCCCCTGGACGTGTTTGCCTAACTTTTCTCTCTCTCCAGACTGTTCTCCATAATGTGGCAGAATGAGGCTGCCCCAAAAAACTGCAAATTTTGCATGCTGAGTCCAGAAACTGTTTCTCAGGCCCAATTTCAAAGTACCTGGAGAAGGGAATCTGATCTATCTTGGGTCAAGTGACAGCACCTGGTCCAATGGGCTGGGGACGGGAGAGGAGCAGGGCAGAGATTGGGGAGGACACACAACACAACCACAGCTTAACCCGTGTGTGAACAGAAGTGATGGGGGCAGGAGAAAACCGAAACCCGCTGCCTTGAGACGTGGACAAAATAGACCACGTAAGAGGCAGAGGGGTAACGACTGGGAGTCAAGAAACTGCACGGGCTTTAAGTCAGACAGACCTGAATTCAAATTATGCTTGTGCTACCTCGTTGGGTGACCTTGTGAAAATTAGTGAAGCTCTCTAAGCCTGATTTTTCTCAACAGCAACATGAGGATAATGCTGCCTACTTTGCAAGACTATTGTGAGGAATACAGAAAATCGTATATGAAAAAAACCCTCCTATGATTGTGGTTCACATTGAATTGTCAAGAAATGGCAATAACTATTACGGAGATCTGGTATCTACAGGTAGCTCCTGATTTTGAGGTGCCCTTAAAAACATTCTTTTAGTTACACTTAACATATTCATACAAAAAACTAACAGGTTGCCTAAAGAACTGTACAGAGCAGGCGTGCTCTGTGATACACGATATCCAGTTACCAGAGGTCCAACTATTTACTCTGTTCTGGTAAGAAAAATATAAATAATACATAAAATGATGTTTCCTGCAGGAAAATGAAGTCAAATGGTAATTTTCTTCGGTATCCTTGTAATTAAGTGGATGACACACAAACTGGGGAGGACAGTGAGAAACTTTCAAATGCTGCAGGATTTTTATAGTCCTGCTCCTACTGCCTGCCTGCTTTGCCTGGGCTGCCCGTATGTCCCCTTTGTCACCTGTTGCAATTAGCTGCCCGCGTTATAAGCTCCAGGGCACCTGGTGCTTCCCCTAAGATAACACTCATCTTGCTTCACTGTAATTGCTTTGGTTGTCTGTCTTCTCTCCTTGGCCACAAGCTCATTATGTGTAGGGACCATGGCCTCCCTTTGCCAGCGATGGACCCCAGCACTAGCACATGAACAGGCACATAACGCACAATCAAAGACTATTTCTTAAATGAGTGACTAAAAGAATGCCTCGTCTTTCCAAACATAGCTCAAATCCCATTTCTTCCCCGAAATCTCTCATTCTGCCCAAATATTATACCTTTTTCCTCTACCATCCCAGAGCACAGCTTAAAAGGTCTTAAATAGTGTTTAAGCTGCTTTTACTCTTTGGAGGAAGAAGGAAGGAAAGGAGTAACTGAGGAGGAAAGTGAAATCAGTCTTTGGAACTCTGTGAAGATCTTAACAGACTTAATCCCCACCTGGTTGTAAATATCATCAGATCTTAGTCGACCGATGACCATATTGATGAAGGCTTCATTGATAGGCACTCTCTGGAAATAGCTCTCAGGATAGTTGGGTGGCCTTTTGGCTCCTGGTTGGCTGGAATAGCCTGTACTTCGAAGCAGCTTACAAATATCATCCATGTTTGAATCAGCAGAAGATCGAGCAGCGCTGAGTCATGGTCACAATGGGAAAGAAAGGGTTAAAAAAACCCACACACACTGAAAACTCTGAAGTCCAACAAAGCAGGAGAATTTCATTATAATCTGGTTTTATATGGTTTTACATACAACCATACGTCAATTTATATCCTTAAGATTCAAAATTATATTTTCAAAAAGCCTGTTATAGCAAACTTATTAAGATGGGTTCCTTTTATGTAGATACGGTTCTATAAAAAGGCCCATGATCCCTTTTGTAAAACCCATGGGGCTAGACTTGTTTCAGAATATAGCATTTTTCAAATATGAGAAAGTATTGGGTTGTCGGAAAAGTCATGACACATTTTTGCAATGAAAAGCATAGAAAAAAATACGTCATGACTTTTCCGACAACCCAATGATATGGTACACAGACAACGTACAGTATAATACTCCATTAGTGTTCCAGTTGGCATGCCGTGACCAACACACATTAATATTTCTGCAGTAAAATTTATGAATATTCACAACTGAGATAAAAAAAACTACCTATGGCCTCACATCTACTCTGATCAGGTTCTGATGCCATATGATTTCAGGTTTTTCTATTTCAGGGGTTACTCTGTGTGCATATGTGTGTGTGTGCATGTATGTGTATGGATATATTTCTGAGCTCTTTAGATTTCAAGATTGTGCATATAAGGAATGTGAACCTGCACCAATGTTTCATAAATTAAAAAATGACTTTAAAAAATTATGTCAATTTACGGTGGGATATACACTAACTGGTTTTTCTTGCCAAGGTGCACTTTCTCTAGAGATTTAATCATAACATCTGTAATTTTCATGGTCGACCGGAGTAGTACTCCCTCAGAGATTCCAAGAATCTTAGACTTGAAGAAGATGACCTCCTGCTGGAGGTTCTCACAGAGCAGGTGTGCTCTGTGATCCATTGGATATCCTATCTTGTATCCTATTGGATATAAGAATCTCCTTTACCACAACTCCGACTTGCAATTTTTCAGTGTCACTTCAGTAATGGATCCTTACATTCTAATGAATTAGCTGTTGTGCCCAAAGGGACAAAGCCCCATTGTCAAAGCTGGGCTTGAGAAACAAATGTTTTTTTCTTCTTCATTATGTTATTTATTGTTTTTGTTTTTCCCAGGTACTTTCAGAAATATCGGTAAGGCCATTCAAAGTTCATTTTTAAAAACATGGTGTTAAAACAGCTCATGGTCAAACTGATGTGAATGAATCATGCATGCTGGTGAATACTCTCTGCTCATGTAATAAAGCTGATTGAGTAAAGATTAATTTACTGCTGAGCAGTGCCAGGTGTCTCTGAAAATATGTCCCCAACAATCTCCTCTCTGTTGAAGATCTGCCTCCTTGCTCTATTTATTTTGTCCTAATTTTTAAGTGCAAAAATGTTAATTCTAGTCCACACATCCTTAGCCCTAGTTCCTGACTCATGTTTATTGACTGTTTCTAACATTGACCTTGTGTCCAGGTTTTGACACATGAATCAAATAAATTGAAGCTTGTGTGCAAGGTACTGAATTAGAGTTGGTTAAGGTGACTTGTTTTTAAGACCCTACTTCTTGGAGTCACAGCCCTCTACAGACAAACGTAACACATGGTCGTGATTTGTGTTGGTGCTTCTTTTGTTTTTGTTTCACACATAGATGTGGGTGAGAATTCACTTTCAACCTGACCCCTGAGTGATAACTTTTCAAAGTCATCAACCTGAAAAATAGAAAACTCATTCATTTCCTTTCATCTGCCAAGGAGTGGTATTTGAAAACTTAAAAAAAATCCAAAAAAGACTGTTCATTAGGCTTCCAGAAGCCCCAAATTTATCTTAAAGATGAAGAAAACTCAGATTCCTTTTTAAAGAAAACTGTGGTACCGTCATGGGCATAAAATCTATGTATCTTAAATAATCTATAATATCTAGATTATTTTGTATATAACACTATCATGATTTTATACATAATACTGTATTTTATATATATACAATGCTATCATATATGATAGCTAACTATTACGATGATATAAAATATAGAGTAACTGCTGTATTTGTATACTGAATTAAAAAGGGATAGAATCCTTTGCACCCTAGAGCATATTGCTGCTGTTCACAGTAAAAGTAGGATGGAAACCTACACTGCGTTTTACCAATAGCTATGCTTTTAGAGCGAGTCGTCCCAGCCCAGGGATACCTGTATCGATAGTAGGAAACCAGCATTCTCTCTCTGACTTCTCCTTCAATCTTTTGGTCGATGACCAGCAGCATAACTCCGTATAAGTACAGCGCTTCACACTACGAAGAGAAAAAGACAATGGTCAGATGCACAAGAGCATACATTCTTATGCAGTGACGTTGATAACGGTTAAAAAGATCCCTTTGCTCCCATTCCCCCTAAAAGCTTTATATTACAAAGAGAATGCAGGTTCCCCCCAAAGGGCTCTCACCTTCTGTACAGAATGGGCTTTGAAAAGTTTATGCAAAATAAATTTTAAGGGGAAGGGGAACTTAGTCAATAATATTGTGATACGTTTACACAGTGACAGATGATTACTAGAATTAATGGGGTGATAACATTGTAAGATATAAAAATGTCGAATTGCTATATTGTATACCTGAAACTAATATAATCAATGTAAGATTGTATATGACCTATATTTAAATAAAAAAATAAATTTGAAAAAACAAACAAACAAACAAACAAACAAACAAACAAAAAAACGCTCCCCTGTCTGGTTGTCTTTAAGCTGAGACTAATAAAAATGATCTTTAAAAATAAATAAAGATATTTTAACTCACAGTAATTATTTTTCAGTTGGTCTGTTTTTGCTCGGGATATCAAAATGGAATCCCAATATTATGAATACCTCAAGTCACTCACTTACTTAACAAACATTTCTTAAGTGATCACTATGTACGAGGTACCAGGCCAGATGTTTAGGATGCACAAAATAAAAATAAGATCGTTACACTGAGGAAGCGCAGAACCTTCACATAATGTTTATTCACTTGTAATTCTGTTCAATGTCTCCTATGTTCTAAATCCAGATACAGGCCTGTCAGAAGAAAACCATCAGTTTATTTTGCTTCGCTCTAAATAAAGGTATTGTGTATGCATCTGTGACTCACAGGGAAAAAAAGCGATGCTAAGCTTGACATTGTTGAATTTCTATTTTACATGATCACTATTACTTACTAGGAGTTGTTTTCCATCTTCATTGAGAAGCACACTTTCTAAGGTTTGCTGAATATAAATGCCTTCATTGAGATCATCTAGATATCTAGAAGTGAAACCCCAGAGAAAGTTATTCATTGCTAATAAAAACTTTAACAACATCTTTGAAGAAGGAAAGCAAAGATTTTTAAAAGGTAAGGTAAGATACCAAGCATTCTGACCTTCAAATAGTTCATGGTTCTTCATGATTGTAAGAACAAACTTTTTGAGCTGAAACTCATCGTGATTAGAGCTACAGGTAGATATTTATGTCTACTCCAAATAAAAGAAATATTCCCTAGTCCTGATTTTATGAATTACAAATATCTTAGAAGTAATGGCATAAGAACATGGAGTAGTTTAAAAGCTAATGAGTAATGAATTGCTAAGGGCGGGAAGAAAGAGAATGTTGTGTGGTTAGGGGTAAGGAGGAAGGCTGTGGTTACCAACGCTACAAAAATACATTCCTTTTTTTTCACTTCTCATATATAATATACTAGAATATCATCATAAACTATAGAATTGAAAGCTATATAATTTAGTATAAACCAAGATTATAATACTTCACACGAGCAGAAAATTATAACAAAACTCTAAATATTTAAGATGACGAGTGCCACAGAAAGTAAGACAATTATGTATGGTAGAAGCTATAAATTTTGCAGTAACTCAGAAAGATGTACATGTTCTAGTACATCCTTTTTCCTTCTCCACTAATTTGCTATCAGAATAAGCTATTACTAAATGAATCAATACCTGTTTAAGTCTACAATATATTTATGCACACTTTGAAATGCTAAATAAAATCGGGTCACAATTTCTATGTTGTTTTCACGAAATTCTTCATCTAAATCCTGTAGCTCTGGCTTAGCTTCCAGTTTGCTCTCCCATAATTCTGGACCCTAAGAAGAAAAACACATTTATGTGAAACGTCAGTAAAAATAATACTTGTTGGTAGCAATATCTAAAGTCTTTTTAAAATTTGCTCTTATGCCTTAAAAGGGATGTCAAAAATTGAAAGCAAAGCAACGAAGATAAAAGGAGCCTAGATATAAAATCCCTTTGAAACACATGAATTTGAATTGCAACCATGATTAGCACGCTTTGAAGTGTGGGGTGCGGGTGCTTCAATGTGAAATACATTACATCAAAGTTATCTCCTTAAAATTTAATTATATCATGTTAGGGCTTCCATACAATACCTCTGTATTATTTTCAAGTTAGTTAGCTGATATTAAATATGGCTTGAAAGCTTTCCTCTTTAACTCTTTATCCATAATGACTTAACCTCTCAGAGTCTCAGGGTTCTCAGAGAAAGCATGCTTTTGTAGAAAAGACAGTGATAAAAATGCTAGAGGGGAAGATTACCTTAAAATAGCTGAAATCAAATATGATATCTCCATATTTCTGTTGATCTGCTCGGTCTTTTAACCTGAATACAGCAGGAATAAACTCAGAGAGTCTCAGAAGCTCAGCAATGATGGCATTGCCACAGGAAACGATCCTTAGGATGGCCTGGCCACAGAGGTTGTTCTCAGCCAGAAAGTCCAACATCGTGAGGATCATCAACTACCCAGTGCCCGGCTGGCTGGAATGTTTAACTGGCTTTAGAGCTGGGGTCTGTCAATCATTTGATGAAACCAGGTCTGCAGACAGATTGGCTGCTCCATTAAAGAAACTATAGCCAAAAAAGAAAAGTATGAAAATTTCCATTTACTTAAGGAAGCATGTGAAACATACATATTTTTCTCC